TTAGTATTATATTTATTACTTTAGCTTGTTACTTTTATTTACATGTGTTTCCTTTTGGCCTTAGAGATGTTTCTATTTTTTGTCTTTAAAAGAAATCTGGCCAGGCACCATGGCTCACACCACTTTGGGAGGCTGAGGTGGGAGGATTGTTTGAGGTGAGGAGTTCGAGAGTAGCCTGAGCAAGAGCGAGACCACGTCTCTACAAAAAACAGAAAAATTAGCCAGGTGTGGTGGTGTACACCTTTAGTCCCAGCTACTTGGGAAGCTGAGGCAGGAGGATTGCTTGAGCCCAGGAGTTTGAGGTTGCAGTGAGCTACAATGATGCCACTGCACTCTAGCCTGGGTGACAGAGTGAGACTCTGTCTCTAAAAAAGAGAAAGAAATCTGGTCTCATCCCCTTCTGCTTTCTTCTGAGTATCAAAATAAACCGAGTAGTTCAGGTTAAATTTTTAATCCTGGTTGTCCCCTAGGATTATAAGGTTTAAAAACACCTGAACATTTTCAAGTCAGGCTATGATCATACCTTATTTATGCATACTTTATTCACAGATCCAAATTAATGAATAATTTCATGCAAATAACTAATCAAATAAGGCCTGATGACTTACTCCTTCGCTTGTCTAGTGTTTTCTGATGGTTTTGGGCCTTTGTCCCTTTGTCAAATGAAGTGTAGCTGATACCATTTTCAAGAGCCTATGTTTGTTTCTTAGGATAAGGAATTAATAAAAGAATGCTTACTTATAAATGAATGTATTAAGTAGCTAAGAATGATAAAATATTACCGACTTACTGATGTTGGATTTGGAAGTTGGTTCTCGTACTGAATAGCTGTTTTATCTGAGTGGTTTGCATGTTTTTAGTGCTATCAATGATAGGGAGCAAATATTGTAACATTTCTTGAGTTCGAGCTATTCTTTTATCCCTGTAGATTCTTTTTTCATCATCTGTCCAATTTCTGCCACTCTTCTTGCTTTGGAAAGATATGCATTCTTTCATTTTGCTTTTTAAGTTGTGATGCAGCTCTGGGGAGCAACCACAAAAATATGGAAAGATATATTAACTGTACTTATTCAACAATTATTTATCAAGCATTATTATATGCCAAGGGTTTTATCTAAAATTCTTTGCCTATCTGAAGCTTATACTTTAATGACAGTGGGCAGAAAATAAACAAATAAACAAGTAAAATACATAGTATGTCACATAATGATAACATTTACAGGATAAAATAAAGCTGGGGAGGGGAATAGAGAATTCTTGGGGGGTTGATTTCCATTTAAAACGGTGTTAAGAGAAAGCCTCCCTGTGAAGCTGACATGTCACAGGAGTTAGAGAGTCAATCAAGCAGATTTCAGGGGAAAGAGCATTCTAGGCAAGGGGAAGAGTAAGTGCAATGGCTCGTTCTGAGGCAGGAGCATGGTAGTGTGTTCAAGAACGCCATGATGGCATCGGCAGCTGAAGCAGAATGTACTAAGGGGAAAATTATAAGATATGAGTTTAGGTAGGTAGCTTGGACTCAGCTCATGTAGGGCCTCATAGGCTATTGGAAGGACTTTGGTTTTTTCTGAGTGTGAAATGGCGAACCATTGGAGGGCATTGAGCAGAGGAGTGTCACAGTCTCAGATTTGTTTTAGCAGGATTGTGCTGGTTGCTGAGGTGAGAACAGACTGAAGAGAGGCAAGAGTGAACAAGCATGGAGATCTCCTGGAAGACTCTTGAAACAATCCACCTGGGAAAGAGGATGGTAAGCTTGGACTAGGGTAGTGGAGGTGGCTAGAAGCATGAGACGTGGGGGGTCCTGGGTATGTTCTAGATTTCCTAAATATTGGATATGAGGTGAGAGAATTAAGAGAGGAACAAAGGGTGGCTCCAAAGATTCTGATTTAAGGAAATGGCAGGATAGGGATTATGGGGAAGACTGTGGGAAGAACATGTTAGAAATCCTTTCTTTATTAGATGATACGAAGGAATTATTGTTTGTTAATTGACACTGGAGTATAATAATGTTTTTTAAAAAGTGTTTATCCTAGCCCATCTCCATTAGGATGGCTGCTATCAAAAAAACCCAGAAAATGACAAGTGTTGGCAAGGATTTGGAGAAATTGGAATCCTCGTGCACTGTTGATGACAACGTAAAATGGTGCAGCCACTGTGGAAAACAGCATGATGATTCCTCAAAAAATTAAAAATAGAATTACTATACGATCCAGCAATTCTACTTCTTGGTATATACCTCAAAGAATCGAAAGTGGGATCTCAAAGAGACATTTGCAAACCCATATCCATAGCAGCATTGTTCATAATCACCAAAAGGTGGAAGCAACCCAAGTGTCGTTGTCAGATGAATGGGTAAACAAAGTGAGGTATATTTATATGATGGAATGTTATTCTGCCTTAAAAAAGAAAAAAATACTGACACATGCTACAGCACTGATAAACCTTGAGGCCATTATGCTAAGTGAAATAAGCCAGTCACAAACAGACAAATACTTTGTCTTCCAAATATTTGACTCCGCTTATATGAGGTACCTAGAATAGTCAAATTCATAGATACAGAAAGTAGGATGGTTTTCAGAGGATTCGGGGAGGGGAAGTGAGTTGTAGTTTAATGGGCATAGAGTTTCACTTTTAATAGAGAAAAAGAATTCTGGA